CCACCTCCCCCTCCACCTCCATCGGCTCCGGCCCTCCCCCGCCGCCGCCCGCACCGCCGCCCGCCCGCGCCACCTCCGCCGCCGCCAGCGCCTCGTCCGCGGCCGCCAGGCTGGCCAGCAGCTCGTCAATCAGGCCGGGCACAAATGTCGCCTCCGCGCGCCGCGCCGCCGGCACGTGCTCGCCGCCGCCACCGCCGCCGCCCTCGCCTTCGCCGCCGCCGCCCTTCTTTGCGGCCTCCTTGGCCGCCTTTGCGTCCTTCTTCAGCAGCGCCTTCCAGCGCTTCGCCAGCGCCGGCTGGCCGTGCAGCTCCAGCTGCAGCCGCCCCGGGCTGAGAGCGTGCCACAGCGGCAGGCTGACGAGGCGCAGCGCCTGGGCGCGCACCATCTCGTCCTCCAGGCTGGCAAACACGTTGGTGAAGAAAAGCACGTAGGAGGTGCGCTCGTGCTGAGACAGGGCTGCAGGGGCGTCGGCGGCGCGCAGCTCCAGCACGCGGCGGAAGAAGCCGGGGAACGCGTCCTGCGTGGAGGACGGCGTCGGGGGGCGGGGAGTAGGGACGAGGGCCGCAGTGGGGTCGTTGTCGAGCGAGCTTGAGGCGCGCCCAATGCGTCGGCGGCCTCGCATTGCCAACATCCTGGCGGCGGCTTGGCTGCCGTTGCGCTCCCCAGCTGCCACAGACGCCCTCGGTCCCCCCATCCCCCAGCCTCCCTGCCTTCCCCTTCTCTCCGCACCTCGCGCGTGTGGAAGCAGGTCCAGGCCGGTACCCCCTCCCTGAACTTCTGGTTGACCATCACCACTATGCTCATCACGTGGCTCGTGGTGGCGGCGGTCGCGTCAAAGTTGGGCCACAGCCAGTTCTCCAGGTACTGAGACACCTCCAGCAGCATCACACGCTTCACAGGCGGCGGGCGCGGCTTGCCGCCGCCGAGCTCGGATTGGTACAGCTGCAGGGTTGAGATGGGGGACAGTGTGGGTTGAGCCGGCTGGGCGAGGGATGCAAAGAGACGCACGACTGGTTGGGGTGGGTGGAGCGGCGGGCTGTGGCGGGCGCGCGGGGTGTCAGCGGGCCTGCTTCGAGCAACCTCCGCTACCGCCATGTCGCACGCAGCGCTGCGCTGTGCAGCCGCAGGGTGCGGCCGCAGGGCGCAGCCGCCCAGCTGTGCCGACAGGCACCCGGCTCCCGCAGGGGCCGCCCTGCTGGGGCCAGCCAGGGCTGCCGTGGGGCCTGCCCCCCGCGCTGAGCGCACCTGGTCCACCAGGGCAGCGTCAAACGCCGGCGGCGGGCGGCCTGCCTCCGCAGCGCGGCTGCGGGCCGCGGGAGACCAGTGCTTCGCCGCCAGCCGCGTGATGCGGTCCTTCTCAATCTGTTGCGTCGTTGGCCAAGCGGGGGGGGCGGCGCTTTGAGCGTCGGTTGGGGGGATTTCATGCATCAGCCCACTGCGAGCCCAGGTCGCGGTGCTACCGCAGCCAGCACTTGCAGCTGCGGTGTGAGCCATCTTGTGCACGCTGCCGCATGCCAAGGTCTGCCACTGTTGCGCAGCAGCGCTCCAGGTCGTAATCGACGCCGCCGCAGATAGGGCTGCGCAGGCAGCCAATGAGCTTCCAGCTGCTGCCCCCACTGCACCGCCGCGCCATTGAAACAATAACAAGGACGCTTGATGGCTGCAGCAGCCAGCAGCAACTTGCGCTGCACGGACGGCGCTCGCGCACCTCTTGAACCGTGAGCGTGTTGCGCCCCGTCTTGGCCGCAGCCGGTCCTGCAGCACCTGGCTTGGCGTCTGCAACCACATCCTCTAGGCTGGTGGGGCGTGCCTTCTTGTTAGGCCTGTCTGAGCCCCTTCCGGCCTTCTTGGGAGGCATTTGTGCTCGTCCCCGCCGGGAGGGGCCTCGAGCCCCTTTTAAAAGAGTCAGTCACGATCGATTTTGCGCGGTATGTCCACAAACGCTGATCAAGGGGCCGGTGTCGCGTAGTGGCCGCCGAGCCACTTGAGCTGATCTGGGTGTGATCCGTGACTCTCGCGGTGTGAGTCACTGTATGCACGCAAACTGTACAGTGACGCTGAAGTGCATGGACAGTGGGACACATACCGTGGAGGTCCGTGTGCAAGGGAAGAGCACCTACCAAAGCAGCTGATGCAGTCTCTGATGCATTATTTTGGCAGGAAGCAGATTGTCTGGAACGATATTTACCACAAAATCTATGAAAATATGCTTTTATATATTGTCGACCCAAATAACTCAGCAGACTGGTGGGGTCCGTCTTACAGCCTGGTCCCATGCACGATATCAGTGTAGAAGCATCAAGTTCCCGTAGGTACAGCGACCTCTAGCAAATACTCACAATCCTGCAACGGCTTTAGACACAGCCCTCGTCATCACAGGCCATCGGCGCGCATGCGCTTGGCGCATCCCCCAGCACACGGCGCCCGCGGGCACCATTGGACAAGCGAACAGCGTCTCTGAAGTGCCGCCCCCGGCGTTTTGGAGGCAACGAGGGGGCAGAAATAGATTCACCTGCCCACACTGCGTGGCGGCGCCGGCGACGTAAGCAGCAGCAGCAGCAGCAGCAGCAGCAGCAGCAGCAGCAGCAGCAGCAGCGATGGGCGGACACGGTGGGTGCGAGCGGATGCATGTGAAACACTGGCAGTGCCTGCACTGACTGTGTAGCACACGCACGTACAACGCACGCAGGAATAAGCAGTTTTGCAGGCACAAGGTGCTCTGATGCGTGCGCGCTCCCTGTTTTTGCCCACCACCAGGCGGACTGAACATTCTGCCCCAGAAGCGGTGGAACGGTGAGCCCTGACTTGAAACAAGGGCCGACACCGGCCAACCCGGAAGCAGCCAGGTCGCTCGTGCATCCGCCTGGGCCTGGCTCGCCGCTCACGCGCCGCTAACATTCTCGACGAGTGACAGCGCTGTGCATGTCGTGTTGTATCTTCGCCGACCACGCAGCCACCTAGCGCACCACACCACACCACGTGACATTACACCACACCACACCACACCACACCACACACACTGCAACACAGTCTATGGGCGTGAGAACCGCTTGAAAGTCGCCCGCGACGAGGCTGCTGCCGCGGAGCAGGACGCCGCTGCTGCCGAGGCCGCCGCAAAGGCCGAGGCCGAGTTCCGGCGCAACCGTCTGCTAGAGCGCGCGCGACGCAAGCGGCTGGGTGGGGCCGAGGGCGAGGGGGATGCCGAGGCGGGGCTCGGCGGCAAGGGGGGCGACGTCGGGGCCGCGGCGGGCAGCAAGGGCCGCGGAGGGCGTGAGGTGGGGTCGGAGGAGTGGGCGGCGCAGGTGGCGCGGCTTGAGGTGGGCAGCGATGGCGACGACCGGCCACGCAAGCGCTCGAAGCGGCGGGAGCCCCCGGCAGACCAGGCGCCCCCAGGGTCTGCCCAGCGGACGCCAGCCGCGCCTGCGGCCGCCGCGAACGAGGACGCCGCGGGCGGCGAGCCGCCGCTCGAGCACATCAACTTTTGGCGGGAGCAGGAGTCCAAGGCAGCTCACCCGGACAAGGAGAAGGAGCGCCGCGAGGACCTGCGGCGGCGCGGTGACCCCAAAACGATGACGTCAGACGCGCGCTTCGATGAGAGCTTCAAATTCGGCAGCACCCTGGGGGGACCAAAGGTGAGGCGTTCGCGGGGCAGCCGGGGGCGCGGGCTGCGGCCGGCGGCGCGTGTCGTGCGTCCACGCAGGAGCCTGCCGGTTGAGCTGTCCTCACCACGACTTGGCTCACTGTCAGTCCCTGTTGGCCAACTCGCATCTCATGTGCACGCAGCCGTGGTACGCCCGGCCCTCAGCCCCCCGCGTGGAGGAGGCCAGAGCGCCCCTGCACCTGCCCGGCGGCGGCTCTGGCAGCTGGCACCCCCACCAGCGGCTAACCGCGGTGCAGCAGGGGCAGCAGCTGCAGGCCGCGCAGCTCACGCAGGCAAGCGGAGGGGCTGGCGGGCCAAGGGGAGATCACGGCGGCAGCAGCAGCAGTAGCAGCAGCAGCAGCAGCAGCAGCAGCAGCGGCAGCAGCAGCGACGGCTCCTCGTCGTCCGACTCTGACAGCAGCAGCGGGGGCCGCCGGGGCCGCAAGAAGCGCCGCAGGTCGCCGTCGAGCAAGCGCCGCCATGCGCGCAAGAGCGGGGGCAGCAAGAGCAGCAAGCATGACACAAAGCACTCGGTGAGAAGGAGGGTCCCGCCCTGCTGCATGTTGCTTCTCTTGCGTCTTGGACCAGGCGTCCTGCCTGATGGGTCTTTGGGCCTCAACCCAGGTTAAGCACCAGGTGTGCGTGGCTTCAGGCCGTGCCATCCCCTCCTCCTCTCCCTGCGCGTCGCACCCCTTGCGCGCGTGCAGAGGCACAAGAGGCGGCACAAGAAGCGAGCTGCTGGCAGCGGCGGGGGCGACAGCCGCAGCAAGCTGCTGCTGCTCGGCGCGCTGCGCGCAGAGAGGGTGGCAAGGGAGGGCGGCGAGCGGATGCGCGCGAAGGAGGTGCTCGCCGCCGGCGCCAGGTGTGGGGGATAGAGGCGTGTCCGCCTCACCCCCCTTATTGCATGAGATGCCTGCATTTTGCACGATGCCCAGCGGACATAGCACCCGCAGCATGAAGAAACGGCCCGATGCGAAGATGGCGGGCCAGTGCCGCACAGTTAGGGGAGCAACGCGCAGCATGCCGTGGCTGGTGCTAGTTTGTTTGAAAAGCTGACCTGCACTGTTCTTGCGCTGCGGCCATCCTGCTCCTTGGCCGTGGCCCCTCCACCTCGCAGGCCTGCCAAGAAGTTCAGTCAGAGCTATGGCTTTGCAGACCAGCTACACCGCAGCAGGCTCTGAGGGCACCGCACACCATCAACGGAGTCGTGCGCGTGCAGGAGGCATGTGCAGGAAACGAGTTGATATGTGATCACACACAACTATCTGCATGGGCGCGTGATGCAGTGAAGGCCCCAGGTGTAACCACAGAGGCGAGCCCTCTGCTTTGTGGCTGTTTGGGTGTGTCCTTTTGGTTGCAGGTTTGTGGTTGCATGTTTGCTTCTAGTGGGATGTGACATTTTGAAATGTTTGATACGAGTGTTTGGCAGCGGTCTACTGTGTGGTCTTTAATCCCTCACTGTTACCTTGTGTATGCGCAATCCACTTGTATCCTTCCACCCTGCATGCTGCTTGATTTGACCCAAGACACTTTCTTGTGTGGCAGCACATGCTATCCAGGGCTTGATTGCCAGAGTTCATGCGCGCCCTGGCGCTGTTGTTGAGGCGAAGTTGCGCAGGCAGCATCCTAAACGGCGAACACACGAGTGACTCTGTAAGTATGGCAACCTACACGGCTTGCAAAACGGCGGTCAAACAGCGATCCGTCTCATATCGACCGCCGTTCTTCTGTTTAAGAGACCGGCGG